TGCTGTGAATCTTGGTATCCATTTCCACCTTCTTGGCATAACCCTCCTGGTCACATGGCATGGCTACCAGCTCTGCCAAGAGAAAACGCACCCTCTTGTGCTCAGAGGCTAAAAGTCACGGAAACAGGTGCAGAAGGCTGAGCCAGGTGTGTACCCGGGTGCAAAGCAGGCCCCAAAGCCCACGTCCCGACTGGCCCAGGCTTGTGAAGGGGCTGGGGCAGGCAGCAGGCCCCGAAATCCTGTCCCAGTAAGAGGGACCAGAGGGGGACATGTGGATGGCTTGCTGCTGGTTCCACTGACCAGTCTCCTTGGCCAAAGACTGAAGGCAGGGGGAGGCTTCCAATCAGCTCACAGCTGCAGAAGACATCGGGGTTCAGAGCGAATGGAGACGTGGGGGTGGGGAAGAACTTCCTCCCATCCTGCGTTGTGGGCAGGGACCCAACCAAACAGGGTCACTGTGGCATTTTTGAAGGATCATGGGAGGATGCAGGAAGCCGGCCCTTCCCCTGGTTGAGACTTTGCTGTGCTTCTGACGGCCATGGGGACTGAACTGCCATGGAGACCAGGCACTGGGTATGTCTGTCTTTAAGGTCCCGTGGACAAAGCCATAGCTGACTCCTAGCAGCTGTGCTGACTGATCAAGATCCCCAAAGACTTAGGCCACGAAGCCAGAGTGAGTTTCCACTGCGGGCGCTCTGGAGGAAGCACTCGCTGGCGGGGGAGCAGCTCCACCTGGCTGCCTGAGCACACGGACGGGGCGGTCTTGACTTCCTGGATTCTCCGAAGAGAGCCAGAGCTTCAATAGGGAGGAGAGGAATTTTCCAGAACTATGCCAGGTAAGATGTTAGCAGGAAACCAATCTCTTGGTGAGCAACCCCAGCATCCAGCCTGTTCAGGCAGCACTGGGGAACCTTCCCAGGTCCCCAAGCCCCTGGCTTCACTCACTCAACAGCTCAGCATCTCTAGGGACCCAACAACGTCCCCATCCAGAGTGCTCCAGCCTGCCACTACCTGTGGTCGCAGGTGGGTCAGAACCTGAGGGCTGAGTCCTGACAAAGCAAAGGGTTTGAAGGAAACCCAAAATTTGATTCGAGTGTGACAACCGTGTTCTTCTCTCCTACGACAGACAGGGCAGGAGCCACAGACCAGGCCAAGGAGCCTCTCACGTGTTCTGTACTTTTTAATGGCTGCGTTTCAAAGAACGACCACCATGTGACCAGGACTGTTTCCCTGGGAGGGGACATGTTAGTGCAACAAGGACAATACCCTGGACGCACGCGGGAGCTCTCCAGACACCTCAAGGATGACACGCGGGAGCTCTCCAGACACCTCAAGGATGACATGCGGGAGCTCTCCAGACACCTCAAGGATGACACTGTTTGAGTCTGGGCTGGTCTCCAGATGGGGGGTTTTTGGGGACAGGATGTGAACGATGACAAGGGAGGAGACACAGCCCCCGTCCCTCGCTGTGTCCTACGCAGGGAGCAGCACTGTGCTGGAGGCCCCGTTCTGGGCGGCGGACTAAGGCACCAGGGCAGCTGGAGCCTGGTTGGACCAGGCTGGATGTAGGCAGCGTGGCCGGGCCCCGTGGCACCCTGGGGTGCCGTCAGCAGGCCTGTGGCTCGCAGCCCTCCACCTGCAGCCCCTTGCTCAGGAGGAAGGCGTCCTGCTTGGGGTCGCGGCCCAGGAAGAGCTTCAACATGGCGCTGGCATCCTCAGAGCCACCAGGTCTCAGGATGCAGTTTCTGTAGTCCATGCCAACCTGCAGAGGGAACAGAGGGAGCTGGGGCCAGGGCAGCGCAGAGGGAGGGAGGACAGGGCCCTGGGGCGGAGAGCTCAGGGTTCTGCACGTCCTGCTCTAGATGGGTAGTTGGGGCAACCCCTTCCCAGGCTCCATGGGAGGACTGGCTGGATGGCCTGCCTCTGCGTCGTGAGGAGCCTGCAGACACCTCCAATCACAATCTTGTGTGTGTGTGTAAGTATGCACAGGTGCAGATGTGTGTGCACTTGTGTCCGCACATGTGTGGGGGTTTGTGTGCACATGTAAGTGTGGGCATGCACATGTGTACCTGTGTGCATGTGTGTGGGCACATTTATCCATGTGCATGTGAATGGGGGTGTGCATATGTGTATCCATGTACA